CGACCCTCACGGGGCCTGTGGCGGTCCACATGAGCGTATCTGGGACGCAGGGGACGGGTGCACCCGGCCTCTGGGCAGGACACTGGGGAGACGGGCTGCGATTGGGCGGTCCCCAGGGAGAGAGGCTCTGCAAGGGGGTCCTGCGAGGCCTATACGAGACGTGTGCCTGGAGCCAGGCGGTGGAGCTTGGTGTGCGAGGTGCTTGCCCGGGTCCTGGGCCCTGCCCCCACCGTGAGCTGGACTGGCCACCGCCAGGAGCGGCCCCCTCTCAAGAACTCGCCGGTGGGCAGGAAATGGAGGGTGCGAGGGGTCTCTAGGGAGGCTTGATAAGGAGAGATTTAGCAGGCTAGAGAGGGCAGCTGGCTCGCTCATGTGAGGGAGAGGCGGGGTGTGAGTGGGGCTGCAGGCAGAGCCTCAGGAGGCGGGACATTACCGTCCCTCTCCAGAAAACCTAGAGTGAGCTGTTCCAGGGCTGGGGTAGGCGGCAACCGGAGGGACAGAGCCTTGGGTCCGGCAGCCCAGGCCTAATGCGGATCAGGGGCCTGTCTGACACACTCTGCTGGCTCCCCTCCTGGGTCTGGTCAGGACCCTGGGATGGAAGCTGCTTCTGGACATCACTGTCCAAAACTGCTGCCCACCCCTCAGTGTGGCTGGTGTCCTGGGAGCCATGCTGGGCCCTCCCAGGACACGGGATGTGAGCTGAGTCCCAGGAGGGAGTGCCTGGCAGTGCCCCTGCTCTGAAAATGCCTTCAGTAACAGCTCCTGCAGGGGGAGCCTGTGGCTCTGCAGCAGGCAAGCTGGCACACCCCTGCAGGTATTGGGGATCCCCCTAAAGGGTGACTTCTCACTTTCTGTCTGTCTCTCCAGCCAGCCCAAGCCCACTATAGCAAAAATCTCTCTTAAAAAAAATCTAGCACTTTCTCTGGGAGAGGTGAGGGTGGGACGCTTCTCTCCTGGAGGCAACCCGCCCATGGAACGGCATGTACGGGGATGAGTCTGGAGGAAGGCCTCCAGCACCTGCCCAGCCCTGAAGCTCTCCCTGCCTCGGTTTCTCACCTGGGCCTGGGCAAGGCCTGTGATCCCCCTCCCCGGCGTGGGTAGGCAGGCGGGCCAGGACCAGAAGTCCCCGTACTTGAGGTGCTTCTCCTTTCCAGGAGCTGAGGGGTAAGGAGTGGGGTGACAGCTGTCTTCAGTCCTGCTGGAGAGCCCTGCACACCCCCACCCAGGGGCCTTTGGCCTCAGGGCCTGGGCTATCTGAACCTCACTGCCCCTTTAGCTGAGACAGGAGCCGGAGCAGGCAGGACAGCGACCGCGGGGCCAGGGGTGGGGAGCAGTCCCTTGTGCACCTGGCCCCTGGGACGGTGGGAAGCAGGGCCTCGTTGCAGAGCCCATGTCTGCTGGGCCTCTCACTGTCTCGATGCCCAGCACGTCACAGACGCCTCTGAACAGAGGGGCCATTCTCGGGGCTGGACAGGGCCGAGGATGACTGGATGACTGCAGGCTCCCAGTGACTGCGGGGGTGGGGTGGGAGTTGGCCCTCTGCCAGATTGCAGCCCCTCCCGCTCACAGTCCTGGCCCAGAGCTGGGAGTGGGGTCTCCTGCTTGACCCCCACCACCACTTCTGGAATCAACCACACTCTGGGTCCTGAAAGCACCTTGGCGTTCAAGGCCCATGGGAGCCGGCGAGTAATCTGGGCAGCAAGTGAGGGTGCAGGAAGGCGTGGCGGAGTGGAGGCTTGTGTGAGCAGGGGTCCCTGCATGCCTTTCTCTGAAGGTGGGTGCGATTCCTCAAGCCCACTTTCCTGCTCACTAGCTGGGCAGCCTTAAAGGGGTTCCAGCGGGGCCCTGCGCCCCCAGGCAGGACCTGGGCAGCCCCGGTCTGGGGTTAGATGAGGTGAGCAGTCCAGAGCTAGCACAGCAGGCCGACCCCCACTGGCAGACAAGCACCATGCTTGCTGAGTGTCCTCATTGCCAGGATGCACTGGCACCAAGACGCCAGCTGGGGCTGCCCTACACACCCCAGCCCCTTGCCCCAGCCGCTCTCAGGCCCTTCGGCCCACTGTCACCTCAAGGGGTGGAAGCAGGTCGCAGGGGCAGCTACATAGCATGGAAGGGGCTGGGGCCAGGATGGATACCACAGCACAGTAGGGTGCAGGTGGAGGCTTGCCCCTGGCCACCAGGGCCTCCCACCTGGAACAGAAGCGTCTAGCAGAGGTCGCGGGCTGCCGCCACAGCCATGATAGACAGCTGCAGACCCGT